ATGCATTTTGGAAAACAAAGTGGGTTTGACTTAGAGAGTGAGAAAGTGGGTGACTTTAACGTGTATTTGGGCAGAGTTTTTATTTATAAATGTGTATTTTTTATTACTATTGGATTTGCTAGGTTATAGCAAAGCACGATAGGGCTATCTGCCTCAGAAGAAGGATAGCTCTGCGGATGATTCTCTAAAAAAAATTTTTCCACTTTTCTCTTGGGAAAGCACCAGGAAAAATACGCGCAGTCTGGTCAGCGAACAGCTAGCCAGCCCCAACTTTCCCTGAGCCTATATCTAAGTAACAATATTCAGCGTTCTTAACCGTTGGGCCTCTGGTGGATCAGAGTTAACTATTAAGTAGCAATAAATTGCCTAAATAAGTATTACGATTATATTTTAATATCTGGTTCGCAAGCTAAAAATATTTTAAGAAGTGGTTCTGCGATCTGAAGCGAACCGGTCGCATCCCACCCCTGCTTTCATGGTGATGTTACTGTTTTCAGTTTTGATATAAATACACTTATTGCCAATCGCTGACGAAAATATTTCATTTACCTTCATTTATAAAATTTGATTTATAAAGGTATGCTCGTTGTACACAACATTAATTTAATTTTTTTTTTTTTTTTTGTGTGTGTGTGTGTGTGTGTGTAACCTGGTTGTTTTAATTTTGGAATTTGGTGATATTTTACGCCTCAAAAGCAGTGATCGTGTTTGTTACGCACAATTTTTGTCCATATGCAAAGCAAAATGCAGTTTAGAATGATCGAAAATCTTCCCCTTTACATTTAAGTCGGAAATTAACGTTGGTGCTTTTAGCAACAGCAGATATTAATTTAATTTAAGAAATGAAGTGAAATACTTGTGACTTTTTGTATCGTTAAATGTCTTTCTATACTTTGATTTTAAAATATTTTAATATCGCAATTCCATCCTCCTCTCGGTCGTAAATTTAAAAGAAATAGCTTAAAGTAAATAAAATTTGACATTATTTTGTTCGTTGTGTATCCATCAGTGTGTCGGTTCGTATAACAGAAACCAAATTTTGAAGATGCATTGGACGAGAAACCGACTTTCAGAGAACCAGTCTGTTTACCTCATTAAGTTCCATTTGTCTTTTGTAAAGCTGTTAAGTTCTATGTTAAGATTTAAAAAAAAAAAAAAAATCATTCTAGCTGACAGCTAAATAGTCACAGTTGCGGAATATTGGGTGTTCGAAGAAAAGCATGTGATGAATGTTTTAAAGCTAGGTAGATTACGTTTGTTTCTCAAACTTGTTTTGTAAAACAACCTAACATTAAAGTCATTTAATAGGAGATAATGCAGAACTCTCCCTCCTTTCCACAGTTATCTTGCTTTCACTTAGACCAGTTTATTTTGGAGTGCACACAGTGTAAATTCACCTCCAAATTGTCGGATCGTATTTTGATTGATGAGACATATCTAACGTGAGTAACCGTGGGCATATATTTTAAATAAGAGAGATTAGTAAGGCTTCATTTCATAGTGTAAATATCGCGCGAGACACTTTACGACTTCATTGCTAGGCAAAGATGCTATGTTAAATCACGATTCAAAGTGCGATAACTGTGGCTTAGAAGTTCAAAATCTCCAAGTTTATAGTTTTTGAATATCAATAATATGAACGTGTTCTACGAGTATTTGTGCCGTGAAGGATGCAAAAATAATTAAATAATTATTCTACTGCTAATTTCAGAAGATGTATTTGTCTATAGAGTGAAACACTAAACGCGATTGAATTTCTTTTTGTATCCAAACTGTCTTTATTGAAATACAGAAAATGGTTTTATCAATTAGCACCAGAGACTTTATGAAAAATATAATGCTGCATGTTTTGTGTGAAGATATTTCTTTAATGTATTTGATCATTATCATATGAGATTTCTAAATGAGCCACTGGAATATTTTAAATTAATGAGACTGGAAGAACAGTTTTGTTAACTTTACCCCCTTTCATTAGGGATCTTTATGTGACACTGAAGATGTGTTAGCGCTGGAAAAGCTAGAGGACACGATTCATCTTTTGTGAAAATAAAATATTTTAAATAAGTGGTGAGTGATTAAAATTGCGTATAAAATTATTCATATTTTTGGGCAGGGCAAAACCACGAGTAATTGTTGAAATTTCTTTATTCCAGGAGTAACTTATGAAGAGAAATACCAAAATTTCTCTTCGGAAATTACACATGTGATTTTAGTCACTAACTATTGTTGTTATTTCTCCTTATTTAATCTCTGCTATTGCAGTTACGCATTATTTTACTGTTTCCATTTTCGATGATAGAATTGAAAATTTTTATGTGTATAGGGTGGCGCACATTGTCTCTGCCGACTTTATGTAACAACAGAGAGGTAATAACTTTAATTGTATACATAGATATTTACTGCAGTGTATAATATGGAAAATATAGACACAAGAACCTTGTAAATAATGTTCTGTTTTTCTGCTTGGATGCACCGTTCGAAGCGATGTGAGAAGGCTTCAATAATAAGTCTGAATATGTTCTTTGGAATAGCATCGGAGTACAAACATACTTTTGCTACAGCAGCACCTTTTTTGGAACCAAACTGTAACTTTTAGCTGCTTTATTCAGAATTCTGCCTACCTTCAGTATTTCCCTGCAATATCCAGCTAGCGTCTGTGGAAGAGCTTATTCTAATGAAGGTTTCTATTACTGTAATCTAAAGCTGCACTAGCCAGCAGTCTATGGTATAACAATTGATTAACTTTTTTATAGTGGTGGTTGTACGATTTTGAAGTATGGTTAATGTAGGTATGCTACAAATGCACACCAGCTTCTGACTGGGCTATCAACCCAAGTTAGTAGATACAATAAGCACCATCCAATATTTTGAAACTGCATCCATTTTTTTACTTAAAGGTATGATGGTTTTTATTTCTTTCAGATGTCTCTACGAAATACATACTTGATGTTTCCATGAAGGTTCGAAATGGCATCCTGGGTCCGATGTCTCCAGATCTCGACATCATTCGCCTCTTGTATAACAAAATGGATGAAATGTTGCCTGATGATGCACACCTGCACTGTGATGGCACACTTTATGTGTCTGTGACTCAGTTTGACAACGGCAAGAACGTTCTTCTCAACAATTTCAAATCTAAACCGGAACTACTGCAGGTATGAAGAAATTGAAGTGAATTATTTATCATGCATTACTTGTTATTTATGAAAAATCTGCCTTATTGCCCACTGCCTTAATTAATTAGTATGTATAAAAATAATTAAGAGAATATATCAGCTCGTTCTACGCAAAAAAATACAGGGTTAGCCCAAATGATTCAGACACTTTCAAAATTTTCTAGAGACCAATTTACACAATTAGAAAAGAATGCCCTGAAATTTATATGAATCAGTTGCAAATGCTCTATGAATAAACATTTTATAATACAATATGCATCAATGCAATCATCAAGTTCTTTCCAAACATTCAGCTGTCACAGCAGTTGTTGTGAAGCATTGTTTGAGATCACCCAAAGTTGTAGGAGAGTAATAAAAATTCTGTCCTTGATGTATCTCAACAAGAAACAGTCACGTGATATTGCATCAGGACTCCTTGTGCCAACATACCAGGACCATGTTCTGCTCTGTTGAATGGCCAATCTGATGCTGATGCAGATCCTTTGTCATACTGATAACTGTACAACAATTTGTTCTTGTCATGATATATACAAAAAGCTTTTTTGTTTGATTAGTGGCCTTATTGCTTGACACTCATTAAAATGCTAACATTATGCTGTCAAACAGAGAAAGGAGGAGGTCATAAATATGAAGACTTCTTCTACAAAACAATAAATAATTTGTAATAAACACAAGCATTTTTTCCATTTATAAGCATTCTGTTTATCTATTTTAGGCTAATCTGTATATCTTCTAGCTTAGAATCTTAAGTGCACTTTTGGTTCCAGCTCATGATAAACACTTCAGTTAATCCAGATAAATTTTCATCTGTCAGATGCTAGCCACCATAAATGGCTCCACATAAACTTCACTTGCCCCTTCAAGAGCTGTCTGTAGTACCCTCTGTGTTATTATTCCAAAACTCATAGAACCAAACACCATTATTCTAAACATGAAGTAACTTAATCTTTTGTAATGGTTTTGGAAAAAGAAATTATTTCAGTAGATATTTGTTTTAGAGATCGAATCCTCTGTCATCTACCCAGGTTCAAAATTTTTGTCATCTTTATAACTAACTGAGGGATTGCAGTTGTTTAAATTATTATGTAGGAAGATATTGGTAATAATAATCAGACAACTGGAATTTAAAAATTGTATTTATGTCACCAGGATTTAACCTATGGCTTGCTGTTTATGATGATTTGTAGAAACTGGATTTAATGTGCAATTAAATTCCAGATTTGAAACTATGTGGGTAAATTTTCTTTAAATATGAAATTGTTAGCACTGAGATGTAGAACAATTAAAAGCAATAAATGTAACAGCTATTCTTAATAAAGAGTTTTCTTGTATCTTTTTACACCAAAATGTTAAAGCACTTTGATAATTTTGTTTTGTATTTCTCAATTTACATTTCAAAACCTACTTTTCATTAAGCAAATACGTTTCTCATAAATCCAGTTAATGATTTTCTGCAGTCTGGCTCATAAAAGAATGCATGTGCCTTTCCCCCTGCACATTATTATATATATTACTAGTGTTTTCTTAAGCGATGCATTTTCCTTCTTGACGATTTGTGTGAGATATGGCTTGAGAATTCTTGAGTAAATAATTTTTTACTGAAATCCCCCAGTTTGAAATTTTCAGGTATATTCTTTAAAGGAACATTTTTAAGAAGATGATTTATTTTCATTCTTGAAAAACAATCTGATGTGGACAGCACACGACTTCCTTGTATGGCCTATTAAATTATACACATTTTTTTGCTGCATTTCATTTAAACTTATTGCCTAGAAGGTCAGTAGAGATATATTTTTCATTCAGTTAATTCAGCTTTCACTTCGCGGCCAAGCAAAAATACATAAAAACTCAAAACATCTTCATTAAAAATTGTAAAATACAGAAAAACATAAAACAAAACATACAGTTAAGAAAACGATTCTAACAATTAAAATTATAGTTTCTATGAAAAAACAAGAGATTCGGCTAGCGATCATAAAGACGGATTTTTCGGTGCACAAAACTGAAAGTTTACTTTTGGTCCCACTTGGCAAAAAGACACTGGTGGTGCAGAAACTGATTGATTCACTGTTCTGCTGCGTTTCAAATGGCGGTTCGTTAGGCTTAACTCGCCACTTAAAACTTTTAAATTGTTGATAATTTTAGAACCGTTGCATGCAGATTAACTAAAACATAAAAAACTTAACTGGAACATAAGCACCACATTATTCAATCACTTTTAAAGCACATAATGCACAATTTACCAACATATAAGAATAAGAAACTAAGCACACCCAGCCACATAACAGAGTGGGAATATATATATATATACGATTAAAATCGCACATTAATTGTCACATTGGCATGTTTCTCTTCTATTCTATATATACGATTGTTGACCTGAAGGGAGATTGATTGCAATGAAAAAGGGAGGTGCACAACTACATGTTATAGCAGTTCCATATATAAAAAATTTCAACGTTCCATGGGATTGCAACGAAAAAGGGAGGTGCACAACTACATATTATAGCAGTCCCATATATAAAAAATTTCAACGTTCCATGGGTACTTGTTCTTGAGTTATGCAAGATGTATATGTATGTATGTATACATATATCACAAAAAAACTCTTTTGAATCCATTTAAAATCCATTTTGTAATTCTCTATGACGAAAACGGTACTTTATTATGTCCGTACGTACAAATTTCATGCAAAAACATTGTTCAAATTGTTTTGAAAGTGGTCAAAATGAATATTTTTTAAAAAAATGATAACTGAAATTTTTCGCGATTACAATATTTCATTTACTTTGTACAAGGAAATAAAAAAGGATTCATAGGTTCAGAAGGTTTTAAAATATTATTTTCTCATAAATATACCTTTACCATTGGTCAAATATATTAACTATATTTTCTGCTTTAATAATTTAATTTATTATTTTAGGCCTTGATGTGCAGTTGCTTTATTCCTGTGTACTGTGGATACGAACTTCCTCTTTACCGTGGTGTGGTATGTTTTTTTACTGTAATTTATGGTTAACTTATTTCAGAACTATTTATTACTGTTTAATGAGCCATAGCCAAAATCAATGGTAGCTTTCTGCAGCCAAATACAATCTCTGCAGTTTTTAAATTCTCTCCCTCAATACCTCCCTAAATTCCGAAAATTTTGCTGCGCCTGAATTCTGCCACCCAGTACGGCTGCACAGGTTGCATCAGCTCAGAAACTGGCTATGTCAGTAGGTATAGGTAGAGGTGAGCTGAACACAAGAATTTCACTTCTGGTCATGCAGATATAGTTCTGCCGTCCTAACTGTGCAATTTTGAGGGAAAGGACTCTAGAAGGGTGGTCTGAGTGTCTCCCTCCAACCAACCTCTGAAGAGGGCTTTCAGCTCCCATGTTTTTTGAATTCTTCCTTGCTGCACAGACATTATGCTTACAAACATCTATGCCTTCTCTGGGATTTGAACCCTGGCCTTTCAGTATGGCAGTCAGCATCACTAACTGTTATGCCATTTGGACAGCTGGCCATACCAATAGCATAATTCTCATCTGTGCAGACACTAGACCTTTTGCTACTCATTGTAATCTTTGCAGCTTTTAAATTTTGGCATTGAGTGCAGCCGCACCAGTTGCAAGTCCAGATGTTTCGGCATTATCCAGACTTATCATCTAGAAAAATACATCTGAAGAGTAAACTAGGAAAATATATCTTCCATGGTCAGATATTTGTGAGTTCTACATTTTTCATAGCTTTTTTGGCTATTCCTCAAGTTATACAGGATGGGATATGAGGATCTGACAGTTTTCATAACAATTTTACGAGGAAGTGGTGCAAAAATATGTAAGAGCATGGCCAGAAATAAGGAAAGGGTGTATTACAATTCATTGAGACATAGTTTTAAAAATTATTTAGAAATGATGCTTATTCATTTATTTATTATGTATTTCTGTTAATTCCTTATGTAAAATGTTTTAATTCTGTAGAATGTTTAATTGTAATAGATCAATATCTCATTACCAATGAATTCTGCTTTGTATCTATATTTTAGGCTTATGTGGATGCAGCATTAAGCAACAACTCTCCAAGGCTGGATAAACACACTGTCACGGTGGCTCCCTTTGTTGGAAATTCTAGTATTTGCCCAGAAAATGATGGAGTTGTTCCAAAGTCATTTACTCTCAGTAATACAAGCATTGGTGTAAGTTCCCCTTCATATTAAGCATCTTTTAAGCACCCTATGTGTCTAAAATTTCAGTCATTAAAAATGAAGTTAATATCAGTTATAAATTATTCATAATTATTTTTTAAATTCATACAGGAACCTTCCATTAACATGAACTTAAGACAAATACTTGGTTAGCATGAATAAAATTTTGGGCCTGGTAGTGATGTACCTGATAAGGAATTTTATTGATTAACACGAATTTCAGGTAGCGCGAATTATGAACTGTTTTTTAGTCCATTGTATCATTAATTTTTTTTATTTAATGCAAACTTTCAAGATCTTTTTTGTATTTTTTCCCTGTTGTTTCATTACTGAAAACCTTACAGTATTCTTTGACATATAGCCAGCACGAGTAATACTGCTTTGCAATCATGATCATTACAATGGTGAATGGAATATTTGCCATGAATGGAATATTCAATGAGGCATTCCAAACCCTGATGTTAGTTTTGAGGAATTTGTTAGTGCTGATGATGATGCTGGCATGTGTGCTTCAATGGAATCTGATGTACAAGCAGTTGTGTCTGAAGTGTAAGAAATGCTACCAGAAGAAAATGAGAAAGACAATATCATGCCACCCACCTACTAGGAAGTGTTATACTCACTCCCTGGACACTTTAGAATGATCTATTGCAATGTTGGAATTGACTGATATTTTTACAGAAACCATGGGCACAGTTGGCCATGAAGTTACCAGGCACTTTCATTCCCATCCACAACAGTGCAGTATACAGGAATGTTTCACCAGATAATTATCTGTAAATATACTATTTTTAAGTTACAGCACAATATTTAATGTAGTACAGTAGTGTTTTCTCTGACAACATATATGATATACTATAATACGTATGTACCTGTCTATTGTAAATGGTTAATGTGTAGAAAAAAACGTTTCCAAAAATAAAATCTGTGTCCTCTTTTATCACAGATTATTTATTTATTTATTTATTTATTTTAACACAAACTCTTCATATTTTGGTTTCTTGGGGTTCATGTTAACAAGAATTTACTGTATCATTGTCCTTTTTATACTGAAAAGCTTGCAGCAAAAGTCAAAGATGTTGATTTATGCCTTCTAACATTGTAATTAATAAAAGGCTCACTCAGAGATTTTTGAGATGGTACTAAATTTTAGGTGTGTTCAAAGTAGTTTCCTTCAACATCAATGCTTTTTAGGTAAATTTTCCAAAGGTTAAATATTTCAAATTATCCATTTCTTGGACTCGATGAATAATATCCTTTTATAGCTTCATCATTCTCATCTGTGCAATGAAAAAACAGCCACACATAAACATCTTTTTCTAAGATTATGAAATAGCCAAACATCGTACTTAACAAGAGCAGGGGAATAGGATGGATGTTCTATCACTTTGATGTGTTTTTGTTAAAGAAATTCGACTGTCAGTGTTGCTGAATAAAGTGGATTATCATGGGGGAAACGTAAGTCTCCGAATATTCACTTTTTGAAGAATTTCTGGAAGACAGTGGTGTACAATTACTCATTGCTGTCATCTGTCCATCTTAACTTGACAGATTTAACAAATTCTGTACTTATGAAGAAAACGGCATACATTACTTTTATTAGTGGTTCATTTTCTTTTCATGTTTTTAAAAAAAAAAAAAATATAAAATGAATCATGGAAAAAAAAATAACAACGTATATTACTTTTTATTGGTTTGGGGTCATCTTCAAAGACCCATATTTTATCTTTTTGATGTGCTGGAACATCAAAAAATTGTACGTATATTTCATCACAAGCTACAATATTAGGAATAATGTGGTGTCTTTCATTATCAAGTAAATTTAGGGTTCCTTTACTGATTCTGACTCACTTTGGTTTTTGATGTTCTGTTAATTTATAAGAAATATAACAACATCCAACTATATTTTTTCATATTCAGCTCTTTATGAATAATTTTATATGTGTTATGTATTTTATGCGTGCCAAAAGTTCCTTCTGTATCATTTGGTAGGTATGTCAGTAATTATCGCTGATTAACACTTTTCATATGGCTGATATACTTTCTAGGATTAAAGCTGGCAAAGAACTTCCCATGTACCCTTCATCCAGAAGAGAATTTTGACCTGTACAAAATTCTGTAAACCATCTATCTGAATGCAGTGGCGTAGGATGTAGCTTCATTTCCATGTGCTAATTGTAAATGTGGAAGGCATTCTTCTCAACCCCACTTTGAAATCATACTGTAGTATGAATCAATGATGTGTCAGCTCTTGTGTCTGTCTTGTGATGAACTCTTGTCTCAGCTCCATTTTCCTTTCTTTCAAAATTTATTTGCCCATAAATAAATTGCAATTATTGCCACAAATTATCGTCTTCAGAGTTTGGATCTGCATATCTAATATTGATAATATATATAATAATATATATAATTGTTTTTTAATGCATATTGTCTGTCCCTGTTACAAAATTTCTAGAGCTGCCTACCTAAATTATGGAATAGATTTCTTCTATTTTATTTAGACATTAGAAATGTCTCCAAGTTATTAAAATTGTCTCCAAGTTCCAAATTGAAAATGTCTCCATCATATTATAATAACTTGGAGATAACAATTTATACCATAAAATTAGGTTAACTGAGCATATACAAGTTCAAAACTGGTGACAGATATGATATAAATTTGTTTTTGGAAGCCCAACATTGTATACTTTGATACTATTGTTATTATTCTGGCATGCAGCAGAGAATTCCAACATCGTGTATGAATACTGTAGTTTCTCATTAAAGGCAGAAAAATTTACCCACATTGGTGAGGATGATATTCCCCTCAACAGATGGCACCACTACTAACATCTTAGCTGTTATCTCTCAGTATAATTCTTAGGTTTGAAAAGTTTTCAAAATTTTTGGTTCAAATAGATCATTTGAAGATTTAATTGTTGCTGCAAAGTTTCTGTACCTATCAATAATTATGATTTATTATATATATATATGTATGTGTGTGTGAGCATTAAAACATTTTAAGTGTACATTAGTACATAATATTTGCATTTGTCTTTCAGCTTACAACCCAAAACATGTACAGTCTGTTTCGAGTTCTTTTCCCTGGGTCTCCAGATATCCAGAAAGAATTTTGTCAGAAAGGTTATAATGATGCTTTACGGTTCCTTCGTGACAATGGTATGCCTTTCTTAAAATGTGTATTTAAACTGTGATATATAGTATTATTACTTTTTCATCTTACTCTCTCCATGCTCTTTTTCATTAAAGAATGTTTGATTTCAATTGTTTTTTTTTTGGGGGGGGTAACTATCTCTCTCTCTCTCTCTTTTTTTTTTAAATATTCAATGTTTACAGTATAGGTTGCGTTATAGATAAATCAACAAAATTTGATGTCCATGTCTATGTCTTATCCCTAAGTAAGAGGCAATCGACCATTAATGGTATTTACCAATATATGATACTTGACTTTTAAATGCTTGAAGAACAAGTAAGTTGTATTCAATAATATGGAAGTACTTGTACACATGCTGTGCTAGAACTCAGAGATTACTAGCCACGGAGGCTCCTGTGTTGCCGTCTGTAGAATAAGTAAACTTTGAATAAATGAGGTGCCATTTATAAGTAGGGATCAAAAGCATTTTAGTTGACTGGAGCTCTGATTGCGCCATCTCTTGCAGGATGTATTGTAAGGCATTTTTTAAATTTCATAAAAATTATTCTTGTGATAAGCAATAACTGGCAAGTAAAATGATGAAAAACACAATTTGCAGTACAATGAAACGTTTCACAAGAGTAACTATTTACACACAAAGTCTACCTGCTTTGGCAGGAACAAAGTCCATAGCGCTTTGTAATTTGATAAGTAAATCTATAAGTAAAGAAAATGAAGTAAAATCTTGGCTAAATAGGAAGAAAACGAAAATATATACATTACCACCCACTATTATGAACAAAATTTGAAATCAGACACTGAGAAATCTATTAAAATTTAATTTGAATTTAAAATTTTAAAAAAATTGGGAAAATTCGTAACAAGCTGCAGTTTATGAATAATTTTTAATTCTACAATGAACTTTATAAATGTTGCACATATTGTAACAGGTATACTGGGCCAACTGTAGAGCCGGTGTAACCAATGCGGCCTTACTGAGAAAGGGGCAAACTTCTATTTGAAATTGATGGCAAGACTTCAGGAGGAGTACAGATTGCAATGAAAGGCAGAAAGCGTAATGCCAGCCCTAAACAGTTTTTATGTCTTCAGAATTTTAAAACAAAGGAAATTTTGATTTTATTTTGAAATTTCCTGTTTTTAGATTTTAATTATTTTTAAAATTTTTATTTTAATTTTAAAAACTTTTAAATGTTTATTTTATTATTATTATTATTTTGCTTGTTTTCTTAGTGGATACTAAAAATAGCTTAATTGGATTTAATGCTTAAATTCAAGTAGTTAGTCATGGTTTATCAAGCGTGGTTTAGCAGTTAGTTTGTCATGGTTTATTTCTTAGATAAAATTTTAAGAGCGATGATTGGTTTTAACTTTATGTTAATGTTGTTTAAACCTTTTTAATTAATTAAACATTATTAATATATGCAGAAAAACAGGAAACATCTTAACTGTAATATAACATGTACTTCATACATTTTTCATATTTCAGCTTTCAAGAACTCTAAATTTAGATATTGCCTTTTAAAATGTCAAATAGAATTATCCATTATCCAACCCTCGCCACAGAATTTTGGAAAAATATCTTAAAACTCTTAATTAAATAATAATTGCTGAAAAGCTCCTTTTTAACTGTACTTTTCAAATATTTTTTACAGCCTTGATTCCATGTCCTGATTGCTTATCATGTGATGAAAATTTAAGCCATGCAAAGTGCAAGTCTCCTGAAGTTCCTTTGCCATTAGAAATGGCAAATGGTAATTATTTTTTGTAGTATGTAGTCATGTCAGTTGTTATGTCACAGTTTTCAACTAATATGTGACATTTCTTTCTTTTTTCCCTAACCTTTTTGTGTAATTTAAATTTTATAAGGCTTTCAAGCAGTTTATTTCATAATTTCAGAGGCGTAGCTATGGTTTTCATCCCCCAGGGACAACTGAAGATTTTGTGCCCTCTTTTCCATGCCAAGAATGAAAAACATTCCATTCTAAAATTTAATAACATCAATTTGGTGCCCCCTGGATGCTGTGCCTGGGGACAGATGTCCCCTCTTGCCCCACCCTATTTACGCCATTGCATAATTTTATCATATCAAGGGTATAAAATAATGTATGTACACTACATTCACAGAACCCAGCCTTTATGCAGCCAAAACGCAGCCTTTATTTTTCAAACGTTGGTCATAAACATATACTTCCAGCTAAAAAAAATGTTTAAAATGATGCAAAGATTCATGCTTTGGCATTTTATAATTTAAGAATATCAAATTTATAAAAAGTACACAATCAAACAATTTGCATATTCTTATGTTTCTTGTACCATATATTTAGAAAACTTTTATACTCATCTTAAAAAATAAAACACAAAAAGTTTGAAAAATTGCATGAAATGTTTGATATTAAAATCGAGAATCATACTCAGGGATTGTACACAAGTTGAAGACCAAAATATTTGCATTTGTACTTAATTTAAAAAAAATATCAGTTAGAAAACAGTTTCTGATATTAAGAGATTATGTATGATGAGTATTTCAATGCAGGTTATTATGAAAAATATGGACCAATATAATTTTTTATTCAAAATTTAGATCCTATTTATAGAATCTTATATATAATTTGTACTCTCGAAAATACTGGCCGGCTTCAGTAAAGGTGCATAGCCAAATTGCAATCGTATTTGCATTAATTTAAAAGGAAAAATATTTATATTGTAATAATTTTTATGACTCAGATTATGAGTCTAAAGTAATAAAACTTAATAGAATGAGAATATTGATTATGTATTTTTAAATTTTGATAAATTATAAATTGCCTGTGTGAAAATTCTTTTAATGTACAAAATGTTATAAAATTTTAAATAAAATTACTTGAAAATTGTGAAAGAATATGATTAAATGGCATTAAGGGTGAAATCAACCTTTAAATATCGAATAATTTTTTTTATTAACTGACCCCTCATTGCAAATTCAAAAGGATGTCAGTTATAGCAAATTTTGAAATTAAATATCTCTGTCAGTTTTTGTCATATAAAACTCAAATTTTTTAGTTTTATTTTTTATAATGAGTACAAAATTTCCCTAAGTATATGAATAAGAAATGGAGTTAGACTTTTGTGAACACAATGTAAGTTATTTTCTTAAAATGAAATAGTATCTTTTCCAAAAGAAAGATGGAGTAATGGAACTCTGTTAGTTAAAAAACAGGTGCATTTTTCAGTGCACCTAGTGTGCTGGTAAAAATTAATCAACTACATATTATTACAAAATACAATGAAAGGATCAAGAGACAAGAATAAATCATTTTTATTATTTCCAAATAACATTTTTTTTTCTATTTTATATTTTCATATAGGAAAACAGAAAAATGATTATAAAATTTGAGTGTTTTTTGTACTTTTCTTTTATTATCTTGTTTCCATGCATGCCTTTTTGTTTCTTTCTTTACTCTGTAATACTTACAATTACTGACTGTTCATTCTGTAATACAGTTTATTTTATGTACTTTTATTTATTTATTTATTTATTTATTTTAGAAATTGATGAAGTTTTTGAAAAATTTAAACAAAACTTAGGTTACAAGCTCTTTCAGTATCGCTCCATGAAGGTGCTATATTATATGAATATGCCCAGTATCATAACTGCCAAAGTAGCTTATGCTATAATTTCAACGTGAGTATGCTTTTTGTATTACCTTCTCTTTCCAACAGTCTTAAAATGAATATTGATGTTCAGTTGAAGTTATCTGATATTAGAGTCTTCACACTTTAAATGTAATAAAAACTTCTATCCTGCCATATTTTAATTTTTGCATTCTGTCAGAAAATAACCAGTTGGAGAAATACAATTTCTACATTGCACACTGTGTATCTAAAACTGTTTAATTTTGTTGCCATTGATTCTTTTACAGTCAAGCTCTTGCTCAATTAAAAATCACATATTTTCAGTTTTCTACTATCATATATTAATTTAATTAACAATTGCTCATTATTTATAGGGGTTCTAATTTGATTGCATTTAATTTTAAAAGGTGTATAAGAAATTATCTATTTAGAGGAAGTATATCTGTATGCCTCAGCTCTTGAGATATGGTGTAAATTCTTACTATACTTTAAATTTTCCACATGTGATATTCTTTGTCATGTTATTTAAATTTTCTATACATTATATATATATATTAATTATTGAAAAATTGTGTTATTCTATGCGTTATATTGATTCTCTCAATATTTTATTTTAAATTATTTTCCAGCATTTTACAAAAAGTGCAGAGTAAAGCTGGTTCTTGTGTAGATGATATCTGGAGTCGCTTTTTGCAGAAACTGAAGGAGGGTCTTTATCGACAAAATGATATAAAGTATGTATACTCATTCTAGATTTAAAAAAAAATATTCTTCATTAATTCTCGTAACAAATGCTTAATAAGAAAAAAAAATCATTCCTTGGTTTTTCTTGTTTGTATTTAACTGTATTTTAGTATAAAAACATGAAGATTGATTTTTCTTGTCTTTCATCTTTTTTATAATGTATGCTGCACTTAAAAATGTAAGGAACAAAAATTTTTTTCTACTAGCATTCAAAACATAAATGGTGGTGTATTGAGGATATGACAAAGCACACTAGGGCTATCTGCCTAAGTATCTATCTAAGGGGAGGGAGGACTTTCTAAGGGAAACTGGTTCGTAAACACGTTACACATGGGAAAAACCATGAAAACGCTCATGCAGCTAGCCCGATCACGGGATTCGAACCTCGGACCGCACTACCAGTGTTCAGCGATTTTACCGCTCGGCCGCTCGTGGGCCAAAACATAAATGATAAGTATAATTAAGAAAGCTAATGCCACAAATTGAGAAAGCACTTACATACTTGGACATTTCCTCCCTAAGAAAATATGGCAATTCTTTTTATACTGGTTATAACAAGAAAAAGAATATGGCAAGTTTCTGCCTTGGTAAGAAACAAATAGTTCCCAATTTGTATATGTGCACATAGTTTATATTTCTCCAGCCAGTGAAAAATATATCTTTTAAAATAGAATAGTTTTTATTGCTAAATATTTAATATGCTCACTATTTTCAATCAGAAAAAGATGCTAAAGCCAGAAAATAGAATGCTTGCAGGGATCAATGACATGGTAAAGCAAAAAACATATCCCCAAACACCTCCCCAGTGCTTAAAGTGGTATGTAGCAGATTTCATATTCAGCCATTCATGTTGGCTTTGGTGCACTAAAACTTGTTTTTGTGCGGTCTTTTTTATGCGATTGTGCGGTCCCTATTCACTGCATAAAAAAGCTCTTTTTAATTGTGTTGTGAAAACCATTTTTTATAGTTACACTCAAACCTGTTTTTACTAAATAGTAATACTTCATTAAGTGTAGCAGGTCCGAATTAAGACCCTAAGCACTTAAAAGAGTCTGATACCCTCGCATATATTTACACCAGTTTTTTTCCTATTATTACACTCTTAATCTTATTTAACGGCACCATACATTCCGTTGTTAAATCAGCAATGAAAAATTTTTGCAGTGGCCTCTTTCCTTGAGTCCCTTAAGACCTTTTTGTGGTGGCCCTTTTCCTTCATGTCCTAAGCACATGATAATGTTGCTTAATAATTTATCCATCTCTAAACTGTACTTTAATCGATATCTTCAACACCACAAAAGGCACTTAATGGACTGAAATATGGTGATTGAGTTGGAGCTCGATTGCCAGATTTCAGTCTAGTTTAACATTTATGGGGCTCCCAAAGGAAACAGATATCTGCCCTCTTCCCTCCAAGATCACTGAATGAACCGTCTTCAACTAATTGTTTTCAACTAATTGTTTACTATTTTTGTGACAGCTTCCATCATTTGTTCACTTTCTCCTATAGCTGTTGTCTTTTGATGCTATCAATTGACAAGGGTAGGAAGTGTTGGTAGAAATAAGGTCTGTCACATAGAAGTTGAACATCATACTGCCAGGTCAAACATGCACTTTGGCCTGTCTCATCGGTATTCAGATGTTTCACCTGGTGCAAGCATCTAATTGATCACTAGGGACTGCCACAACTGACTAAAAGCGTTGGAAGACGGAGAAGGTATTAAATGTTGCATTCACTCCAAGGACAGATGTATTCCATATTTTAACCAATTATTTTTACAAAACACTTTTGTTATCTTTTCATTTGTCATACAAATTTTTCAAAAATGCAAAAAGTAGTAAGTTATTATACTATATAAATTTGTGCTTAATTTTATGTTCAAGTCTGGTTTTTCATAACTGTTGTGGCATAAAACTTATCTGTCCTATTGCTTTTGTACTGCAGTGAGTTTATCAGATCAGTTAATAAAAAATAATGTTTTGATAACCTACCAATTTTATATTATTTTACATGATATATTTTCTTAATTTAATGATTTGGAATAGAAACATTTTTATGGTAAGCTGTTCTTCAATGCTTCTTTAATGCATTTAAAATGCTGATAATAAGTCTATGTAATATGTTAGCATATATAATAATAGTATGTATAATATGTTAATTTGATAACATAATCTAGTTACTATGAAATTTCTCTTGCAACAAATTACATTTTTATCTGTGTCCTGCAGTTTGCCATCTGAAATTCAAGAGCCAGAAAAGCAAAAATCTTTGAGCTGTATCATGGAAAACATGCATGAAAATCTGCCTTCCGGTGATTGTCAATGTACAACTGATTTGAGAGATGATAAAACTTCTGATAGATCAGATTCATCCAAAGAGGATTTAACTGTGGAAGTTCAGATTCAGGTTCCTCAAAATGTCAAAAATGGTTACCCACATAAAGCATACCCAGTTCAGTCTCTTAACAATATATGCCAACTTGATTATCCTCTCTGTGAGAGTAAGAAAGACATTCAGATGCCTGAAATGATAAACACTCGTGTTTGTTGAACTGCCAAATAACAATTTATGTCTCGTTGCATATCAGTGCATTTGGATTTTGCACCATGTATGTGACTAACTATAATATAGTGTGTACAAAGTTATTATATGAAAACCATTTTTGATAGGTTTATATCTTTTTTAAAAATGCCATTAGTATTTCTTAAATATGTTAAAAAATGTTCAGATTCTTTACCAGTTACCCGTGTGGATAATATAAGTAACACATTTTGTTCTTACATGTGTGTGTGTGTAAATAATAATTTATCTTGACTTATCTATGTTGTTATAAATTATTAATCATAACTTAAATAATTTTTGATTTATTTAAAATATTTGCTTACTAAAGATATTGTGTTGAAATGATTTTACAATACAAATCTTTATAAAATGTAATTTAATAATTTATATAATTTCATACTTATTTAAAATATTTCATTGTTAGTTTTTTGCTTAAAATTGTAATTTATATTTATTTAGATTGCTTAATTACATTTTTATTAGTAGTTTTAAAGTAAATTTAATATTTCAAAATAGCTTAATAACTATATATTTATTATAATATGTCCGCCTCTGAATCTTTTGTCTTCATAGAAGAATTGGAAAAATGTTGTGCCATTAATTATATAACTGTCATAATCTGGTATAAACTACTATAATTTTGAAATAATTATTCCTGTTTATGCTGCTGTAGTTAATGTAATTTACTTTTATTTGTGCTGGTAAAGGGTTGGAGCATTTTACTTAAGTGTTTGTGAGAATCTATAGTAACTAAGTGATGATTTTTTGTTTTTTAAATCTCTAGTCCATAATGACAGGACATCTTTTCCATCTATTGAATCATTTTTATGAGCAGCAATATGTATATGTATGTTTTATTTTATACTAATGTATGTCCTATAAGTTGCCAGTGAAGAATATTAATTGTTTTGTAATGTGTTAATTGTTTTGTAAAGTTGTGGACTGGAATATAAATGTATTACTGTCATTAATTTTAGTACTAAAGTTGAGTAGAATTACAGTTCTAAAAAGGAACAAGTAGCAAGGATATATATTTGGAGGGGGGGGAAAGGAAATCTTAATTTTTATTGACTTTTTCCCTCCTAAAAGGATTAAAATTAAGATTTCTATGACTATGAAATAGTATTGTTTAAAAAATGTTGAAAAACTTTATTGGACAAACATCATTTTACATTTATTGTGGACTATTTATCAATGGGACAAATTTGTATTACTTTTATTACAAAGAACATTGTTATTATTTGCAAATATTATGTGCAAATTTAACGAAACATAAAAATTTAACTGAAGCTACAAAAATATATTTAGACAAGATTTTTATCATTTTAGTTTTGTAAAGATGCATTTGTTATGCGTAGCAAATACAAATATGCAAAGTAAAAGTACATTCACTATTAAAATTTTATATAATATGCCATAAAATTTTGCTGTAGTTAATTAATGTATGCAAAACATGTTAAGGCAGAATTTTGATGCTATTGTTAAATGGAGGATAATCAGTTGAAATTAATGACAGAATTTGAGACAGAAAGTTTAGTATGCTTTTTAGTTTTCTATTTTTGTACTGCATTTTTGCTGCATGTGTTGAATTTTATTTTTGTAATGGCATCTCATATTTTCAGAATGATATGCATTTTATGTAAGTGTATGTATGTAACTAAATGTTTGATTTTAATTTCAAACTTCTAGTTATTAAAAATTGCATGATTGTTCGAAATATTGAACTGTTCTCTTTCTGTTGTTACATACTCGTTTTACATTAAGATGAGTAAGTATTTTTTAATAGAATAAGTAATAAATATTTATGAACAAATGGTCTGTTGCTTAATGTAGAAAGTTTTATCATACAGTTTGATTTTTAGCCTAAACAGCCATTAACCCAGAAAGACTGCTAGTCTCAAAAGGGTATTTTGTGTCAAATCACTAAAAGCAATGAATCACTTCAAATTGTTGCCACCAAATATCATAGTCTTGTATCATATTCAAAATGAAAAATCTTTGTGAATGTATGTATTTTTCTTGCATTGTGAAAAGAACAACGGTACCTAGAGCTATCAAATTTTAAATAACTTAGTCCTCCACCCAAACATGGGTACTTGGAAGCCTGAATTTTGAATCTGTTTATTATTTTTTCATATTTTCTAAGATTTTAACCAATTTTTGATTAAAAACTCAATAATTTCAAAGTGAGAAGTGGCAATACTGTGTGGAATAAGACATTTTTATCTCCATCACATGAGACTATCTCTTGGAAATTCATAATATATGCTGTTTTTGAATATTTTTATATTAAAGAGGCTTTAGCCCAAATGCTTTCAAAACGTGTATATGTGTGTAAATGGGGGAGAAGGGATAAAAGCCCTTTTGGGCATAATATAAAATCTAAAAGCTTTCAGATTTTTTAAAAATTTATTAATATTTAATTTTTTCCCCTGCAAATATATAAAATGTAAAAATACAGTAGAATTCTAATAATCTGGAAATCCATAGTGCCTTTAATCTATATGTAATTTTACATGTAAAAAAAGGAAAACGAAAATTAAATATGATGGCAAAATTACCAGCAACTTTTGTTTGAAGTTATTTAGGTTTTTTTGGATGCATAGTACTGATTGCTATTATTATTATTATTATTACATATGAATTGGATTGTGAAGCTTTGCAAATGTTTCATTTTAGATATATCTCTACTTTTGGGTGTATAGGCTAGTGTCTTTTAAAAACAGATTTGATTACATATGGTAAATATGTTATGTATATATAAATTATTTATTTGTTCCTTCTTTTTCAGATTCTTGCTTTAAACACATTTTAAGTACTGATTGGTTTGTTTACTACCCGTAAAAAAGAATCTGAACAAATTCTTTAGAATTTGTTGAATTTTTTTTTTTTTTTTTTTTTAATGCAAAACGGAAAGAAAATGAGGCTAAAGGATAGAGAATTTTTTTTAATAAATCCAAAATTATTTTCCTCTTACAATCTAATTACTTTCATTTTTTCTTTGAATTGTATCGCTGCAGCTCCATACATTAAGGGAAGGGAATATATGCTTTCTTTTCACTTTGTCTCATACCTGTAAAATAAAAATTTTTTTATTCATGGCTTTCTTTAAAAAATTGACACTGACAACTCTTCAATGAAAATGAAAGTTACTTCACAGATTTTGTAGTGGAAGCATGAGAATTTCTTTTGTTTATCAAAAATATAACTTCAGAGCTTCGCCTGAAATGTTAAGAGAAGAAAGTATTTTAGATTAGATAAATATCGAAGGTAAGGCTTCTGTTACATTACAACTGACTGGTGTAGAATTTATTTCAAGTTGATGAAAATTCAGATACTGTACCTGATAACGAGGAAGCAAAAATTTCTTGTAATGAGAATTTGACATTTGGCCAAGAGTACCTAAGCTTTTCCCAAAATTTTTGTTATACACCAGGAAAAAATGACAGTATAAAAATTAGGCAATGCAACAACCTTGTGTTTGGCATATATTTTAGTTAGGACTCGAGAGTCTTGATTAAAATCTATGCCAAACAAAGTGAATTTTATGTTTTACTTTGGCATGTTTCTCTTCTATCTTGATTTATGACAGCATATATACTTAAAACAAGTAATAAGGAAAAAAATACAGTCAATTCCTATTTAGGTCAACAAAGAAAAATTGTATTATGATTACTTTTTATTAACATTATTAAAATTTTTTGTTTCTAATTTATAACGCTGATGGCGATCTATAATTTCTCATTCTATCCATCTCTTGTAATGCTTCATTATACTAGTAAGGAACCTTTCCAGTGAGTTTCTAGGAGTCCAGTTCTTCAAATAATATTCCATCTAATGATTTTACAGGACTCAAAGCGACATATGCTTGACCTGCTGTTGTTTTACTTTCTCTAATCTTTGCTTGCATTGTGTTGTAGTTTCTTTTCGCATTCTCCGTTTGTGAAGCAAGGGACATTTTAAAGGGTTATATTTTAAACATATATTATTATCACGTTAACATAACATAGAAATACGGGGAGAATTTACACTGCATAATGGAACATTAAATCTGACTAAGGTAAAAATGCAAAGGCTGTAAGTTGCAAATATACATATTAAGCAAATGAATGTTTTGATTTAATACGTGGCATTTTGAAATTCTCTTTCATTACTAAAAATATTGTTAACTGTTTTTGTTTTTCAAACTTTCATCGCCCAGTATAAGGCAATAAGAACTGTTTCTATGATTTTTCATAGTATAAAAATTTACCTCTCAGGAGCCAGTTAATGTAATAAATGATTTATTCTTGATTAAGACTTGGATATTTTTAATTGTAATATCTGTGTGAAATATTCGTGATTCGCTTTAATGTCTGCAGACTTAAGAATGTTGGATTACTCAAAGACAAATCTAATTAAGACAGCAGTACATTGTCCGAAATGTTATCATCACGTGCAAGTGTGCAGAGAACTCGAAAAATGAAAGAGCAATACATAAGTTAAGAACATTAATTATTCTATTCATAAATATTGCTATATTAAAATAAGTCACAAGAGGTGTTCGAAGTTTTGGCCACCATCTACACAAACCTGACTTCGGCACCGCACTGAATCAGGCAGTCAGTTGGAAATCACGGACGTTTTGAAATATACCGGACGGTGTCAACAGCTATGCAGATTCGTGCAACAAGATCCTGCTCACTGTGCACATGTGTATCGTATCCTGGACTCTTCGTGTGGCCCCACGGAAAAAAAAAAAAAAAATTCAGAGAGGCTAAGTCCAGTGCTCGTGTTTGGCTCAAACCAGTTTTATCCATATATTGAATTTAAGTGTTCCCAAACTCACGGCTGAAATAGACTGGAGCACCATCATAATCTCCACATCATGGTGCACCAACTACTGGGTCTTTTGGTCATTCCATAATTTGGGTAAGACTTTCTCAATAAAATCTTATAACAAGTCTAAGCGAGCAAGCAACACATATTTGCCTAATTAAGATACAATAACACGCAGAACAAATATTAATTAAGAAGTCATTATATTTTCAAATTTTCACAGGACTAGTTTCGATGGTTTTGCCGAATCATCATCCTCAGCTGCAAAAGCGCAAATGAACGAGATAAGATATAATGATTAGATAAGAAAGCCTGGACAGGAGATAAGCTACTGGCGCCATCTGTTGCTGAAACCAGAACTAAAACATAATTTCTTTAAAGGCCGAAGGCAAAGAGGGATTGGAATTAGGATCGTTAACTAGAACAGAAAGATTTTTTTGAATGTGAAATGCCACTAGAAAATTCAGTTCTCCATTGGAAGATGTTTCTTGAATAATTTTGGCAGCAGAAAAATTGAAAGTGTGATTTTCGGACCAACAATTTTGAGCAACAAAAGACTTCTGTGTTTCCTTTTTTCTAACATATACCCCAGGAATTCATATCCGGAATGAGGTCCTTGAGTATGGAACTGGGAATTTTATTGATGGGAGAATAAACAACCCGAAAGTTTAATTTTTGCAAAATACGTGCAACTTTATAGCTAATTGATGAAAAGAAGGGAATGACAGCAGAATTTTTATAATCTCCTAAAACAAGAGCGTGCCTTTTGGTGTGTTGAGATGATAATTTTTTAACTGCTTGATTAATAATGTCGGGTGAAAAGCCCCTGTCAATAGCTATTGCTTTTAAATAATTTAGTTCTTCATCAAGGGATAGTTTAGAGGAGCGAACTTGAAGAGCACGGAAAACATAGGAATAAAATGAAGCTAACTTTTGTTTAGTCGGATGATATGATTTGAAGTGTGGTGGAAGGTAAACCGATGAAGGTTTACGGTAAATCGTCACATCCAACTTCAGTACTACGAATACATCCATAAGTGCGAAATATGTGTATTGTAGCTACCATCCCTGATGAAATATACCTTGTCTGTGAATAAGGTAAAAATTAAAAAAAGAGAGTCCACTACACTTTTCTGCAGATCCCGTAGAGAAAAAGCAGCATCTGATGGGTAATCATTAGGCTGCAGTAGCTATACGCATAGCTCATGATATGAGTGCAGTTGGTTCGAGTTGGGTATATTTCAGAGAGTGTTTTGAGGAAGAGCGGAGCAAGTAAGGAATGCTGATGTACTGACATACTGCGCAGTGAAGCATCATCTCACCGATTTCAGGGGCCCGTGCCTTTCGTGCACGATTCATGGCACGTCTGTCGAAGGAACCCGTTTCACATAATATATGATACTGCTATGAAAATGTCCGGGGTTCGGAATACAACTCACCAGGTATCACTCCCAGTACAATCAGCTACTTCATGTGGTTAGACTGATATCTGCTAACTTCACTTTTGTGAACACTTCCATCATACTACCTCTGGAGCCGGTTGTCGAATGACTGTTTTCCTGTGTGTACGTTAATGTCTTATAGCATAAATAGGCCATAAGATATTGTTCGATAGGTAAGACAGCTGAAGACGTGTGATTTTAGGAAACATTACTGAGATATAAATTTATATATACGGTGTACTCTCGATTATCCGGGCTAATGCCGGTAACAAAAGGGCACAGATAATTCAAACTCTCAATTATTATGCATATTGTATATGTTTATTTCTTTAAAAAAATCAATAATTTTACTTTGTTTTTGAGAACTTTAAATATTTGTCAAATTTTACTGTGCATTTTTAAAAGTGCTATTTTACCACTGTATTCTGATCCTCTTTGACAAAAGAAATCCAACAGAGTTTCAACAAAAGTCATTGCTGTCTCGAAACTAATGTTATTATCAATATATTTTTCTCTTGTATTTTCAGTATCATTTTCTGCCTCTTCTGTTCTT